AGATCTCGGGCTTGGCCTGCACTTCAAATTTAATGATTTTCCTCTTTGTCTGAGAGGGTGCACAGAAACAGGAAGGCTGGAGCTTGGCTGGCTGAGTTAACTACTATTTACATCAAAACAATATTTAATTTGACTTGATTCAGTTTCCGCTTACACGCACACCTCCGTTCTCCCATTCAGAAAGCCGGAGTTTCGTACCAGAGAAAAGATAAAGTGTGACAGTGAGGTACAAGCAAGAAGACGTACACTCTTACACCCACACATGCAGACACATGGACCTGAGAGTAACTAAGGACATGCTATTCTGCTGCAGTGAGGCACTGCCCTCCAATTGTCATCCACTCTGTGGTAGCTTTGACACAACTACCCACACACTCGCAAATCAACACATACGTGCTCGGAAAACAAGACTGCTGTCCCTGCACACAGAAAAATCAGCATTGCACACGAAATACATTCTGCTCCACAGTAGAAGAAACACCCCCCTCCCCCTCCTCCTCTTCATCTGTTTTTCCCTGTCTTACCATCCAGTCCGAAGCAGGAGGTGATTTTTTGGGCGTAGTTGCAGAGCCCATCGTAGCTAGGCTCCTGCCACACTGTATCCCTCTCCCCCATCTCTACACACTCCTACACACACCGTCCCGTCCGGCAGCGCTTTTACTCCTTCCCCTGCTCATCAATTATTCAGGCTTTTGCCAGGACACATGCATGCGCGCGCACACCAACCCTCATATTCGCACATACAGTACACACACACACAGAAGTGCTGATGCAGAGGGTCGTGCTGTTTGAGCATGAGCAGCCCTCTCCAGTGGTCGGATAAGGAGGAGGCATCAGATTAGGTTACTGCAGTATGGAGCCTTGCCTCCTTTTTCATCCACCATTGATCATCCAGATTACACTGCAGTGTAACAGGTACGGAGTGCAGGATATGCTAACCCTGCTCAAGGAGAGGGCGGGGCAGAGAAGGAGTTCACAGCCGGGCGAAACTATACTGATGTACTAGGTATCAGGGGGAGGACTTCCTTTGCTGCTAGTCACTTAAAGCTATCCAGCAAACCTTAATGGGCAGGCGGAAGCTGTTGTGTTTCAGAATCGACGTCACTGGAGCGAGGAAGCCAGAGACTGATGGGCATAAAACATTGAAGCATGGCCCACAAAGTAAAGTTTTTCTTTTGGATTTATTTAGGCTAGTGTAACTGTTTTAGCATTCATGCTACACACTGCTTCAATAAGAGGTAGCACTGATTTGCAAGTATAAGAAGATTAGTTAGAATTCAATATAATAATGTTTTTCAGCATATTGTTTGTGATCACAGGCCTAAACATAACATTTGAACACTGAAACCTTGAGAACTGAAATTCATGCTGAGGTTTGTATTACATCAGAGATGCCTTTCCTATGCCCAATTCTAATGGATTTAGCCTTTGCCAGGAGGAGATGTCTTCAAGTGGTGCCCAACCTTCTCAGACTATTTCAACCCATAACCACAACACTCTCCAGTTGCCGTGGCAGTGGTAGCCAACTCACTCAAGATTTGTTTGAAAATGTCATTAGGAAGAGGGAAAACCGCTAACATACATCATTTCAACACACTTTACTACTTTACTACAATGCCATTGAATGGGTCATATAAAATATGACATGCAGTGTTATACAGCGGCCCAGGAGTAGCAGGAAACTGAATGAACACTGGCCCACACATGCGAGAATTTTGCTCTCCAACATGTTTTTTAAGATTCTGCGGTGGAGTTGACATAAATGGCTTAAATGGGCCAAAATGAACAATACATTTCACATAGGAAAAGCCAACCTAAACAGAAGAGAACCAATGGGAGCAGAACAGCAAACTATAAAAATAAATCAAGTGATTATACTAAATGGCATAACTGTGCTAGGTTTAACGGTGATTCCCCACACCAAGAGGGAAAATGTACTGTAGATGGAGGAATCTGATAAGAAACGCCTCGACAGCCCTCAAATGCCACTACCGAACAATGCACTTAACCCTTTGTTGCTCAGGGCAAAGTACTCAATGAGACTCACCGAGCAGCTCACAGGTAGGAAAATAATGAAATAATATACAGTTTGTGCTCTGTCCACTTCCCCAGGATAATGGTTTCATAAAACATACAAAGGAAAAGAAAACAGCACATGAAATATGATGACACTGGAAGGCTGTCTGCCTGCAAGGGTGTATTATAAGGTGGGGTGACTAATGGAAGGACATCACTGCCAAGGTAAAAGCTGATGGCCTTGTGCTGATAACAGGGGTGGGGGGGTAACTGCAAGACTGAGAGCATAGTAATGGCTGATGCTTGCAACCCAGGGAGGGGCTGGTAGTCATAAATGTACACTGGGAGGGAAAAGTGGAGTCATTTGAGACATTTTCTAACTTCCTGTTTCTGTGGGAAGGAAAATGTTTCAATCAGCTCATGTGTTTTAGACCTTGCCTATAGATTTCTGGAATCTAAAATGTATAGAATAATACAACCAGAGGTCAGCAGTGTAGCCTGCAATATATCAATACCATAAACATAAAGGGGATCAGAGATAGTGTCCATCCATTCCAGTAATCCACATTAAGGCTGCATCTAACCATCATTTTCATTTTTGTTTAATCTGGCGATTATCTTCATTATTAATAATTTCCAGTAAATCATCCATTTGTAAAGCCCAATGTAATGTCTTCAACTTGCTTGTTTTGGCCAACTCGACAGTCCACAACCCAAATATATTATGCTAACTATCATATGACAAAGAAAAGCAGCAACTCCTAACAGCTGGGAAGCTGGAAATTGAATTTTTTTGGCATTTTGCTTGAAAAATGACTTTAAGGTCCCCTGTATGACATGTGTTACGACATATACAAATAGTCTGCTTAGAACAATAATGTTAATCTGATATGTTTCTGCAAAAAACAAACCCCATATCATTTACAATTCTAAATCCTTTAAAAAGCATCTACTCCTTCTCCCTCATTAAAAAATTCCAGAATCTATGAATATGCATATCCTGCAGGACACAAAATGTCTCTGTGTATGTGCATTGGTGGCTTCAAGTTTCTACATCAGACTTGTATATTTGATTTATTGATTGATTTTATTTATATATTTAAAGTCTTGCACCATTATGCCCAGTACATATGGGCTTACAAGACACTGAAGCAACATCAGCCAAGATGGCCACATACAGTTCCACAAATTCAAAAAAGGAGACATTTCGCAAGATCCCATTTTCATGATCAAAATGTCTAATTATATTGGATACAGTGCTCTTTGTCATGGGTTTTCTATCAATATTGTTAAAACAAAAACATCCTCCTTAAGTTTGCAAATTATCCAACTATTGTGAGTACAAATCATCCTCGTAGGCTCCCGCTGCTTAAAATCTGATTTTATGAGCACAGAGAAACTTTCCATTTCCTGGTGTCAAACTCTGCACACATACATCATCCTGCACAGTGAAGCTTTTAAACATCCAGCTGCAGAAAAAAAAAATATATAATAATTTTTGAGTTGCGTAAAGCTGCGTCATTTTCTTTAAATCGACTAATCAATTAGATGACATACTCTCCACTGAATGGTTAAAATAGGACATCCATTCTCTACAAAGTATAGAGAAACTATATATTAGCTAAATGCAAAAATATTCTACATTATGATCTACCCAAAAATACTTATGTCCTCTTGTTAAATATTGTGAAACAAGGTGTAAATTAAGTGAAAAGGCATTGACTCAACCAGGCCCATGATAAACATGAGTTTGATTTGACATACTGTTACAAAGACTTATGTTTGTGCCTGATTTAACTGTGATAATGAATTAATAACCTCACATTCGTGTAACCAACACAGATAATTGGCACTTCCCCATCATAATACTGTAGGGGGGTAGGGTAGTTACTTCTCATGAATAATGATTGGCTGTTTGCAGGGGGCTTAAGCGTGCTAATCAGATCTATGTAGCACAGGGGGACTGTAAAGCGGTGGGCTCTGAGCCTCATCGATCTCCACCAGCAGCCGTGGAGGACAGATACAGTAGGCCACATCATTGATGGGGGTCGAGTTCAAAACCTTTCTTCCTACACTAGGCTCAGCCATACAGAGCCTGAAGGGGAGTGACACACTGTAAAAGGTTGATGTTTTATCCAATAACAGGATCAGACCCATGATGGTGAATCCAACTGCAGGTTTAATATAATAACCCCAAGGTCATGTAATATTGTAACTTCTCTGCGTCTATGCAGCCGCTCAATCAGTCAGTCAGTCCATGTGATCGTAACCTATAGCAAGAACAGCTGGCGGCTCTTTATCTCTTCTGCCAGAGGACACAGTCACCTGACACAAATCCAGGACAGCACAAAAGCCCACCTGATGGGAACAAACATGCCCCATTGCAGGTTGTTTCAAGCTCAGCGAGAAACATCTTCTCAATTTATAATGAGATTGTTGCACTAAATGATACTTTTTTCCACAATTATGGGGCTTTATGTCAGTTCATCATACACCTTGACAGGTACAATGGTGTGAATGTGTATCACAACCAGTCAATTAAGAGAGTCAGCTTTAATTCAGGCAACAATGAGGGTGTGTGCAGCCTTTAACTACTGACATCCACCATCCCTGATTAAACATAATGTCAAATGTCAAAAGAAACAGCAATCACAGCGGGGGATTTTTTATGTTTTATTTATTTTTAAAACGTGTGATCTATTTATAGGCAGAGTGCAAAGTGTTCATATTAACTAAATAAGTTGTAGGCTGTCTGGAGAGGGCTGCAGCAGTGGAAGCTGTAGTTTCAGCTATGCACCGGTGTAACCTACTTACAATAACAGTGTCATTATCTCAGCCTGATCCTCCCGAAAGACGACGCCAATGGGCTCTCTTCTCCAATGCATCCATCCTTGAACCGAGACCCCCCTCCTCCCCACAAATTAAGAGACTTTCCCCCCTCTGTAGGTATTGTTATGAAGGCTTCTGCGGCAAAAGAGACTCACCTCTAGCAGACATGCCCGGTAGGTAGAGCCTCTCTTTTCTTTCTTTGCCGGTATTAGCAGGAGGAGATGCCCCGGTGCAGCTTTGGCGGAGGGAAAAAGACCGGTTGACAGCCTGATATTATCTGTACCCTAAGTTTTTCCCGGCTGTCATTTAATGGGATTAAACGCAGGGAAACATATACAGCCTGCGATTTGGTAGACTAGACTAGACTGCGCGATGGAGAGAGCACTTTCCAGCGACAGGGCGTGTCCTGGAACAGACAGCATCCTTCTTATTTTCCAACAACTTTATGTCCATATTTGAACATATGATCACAGAATAACGGAGTTATAAATGAAATCATTCTTGTAATCTCCTGCCTGCGAGCTGCCGTCGGGTTTCACGGGCGTAAAACCGACTAGTCTACTTTTTTCTTTTTTCTTTTTTTTAGGTCTGCGGATGACTGTGCTGTTCTGGACGTGGTAGTTGTTGCTAAATCGTAAAGTTGACAGGCACTCTGAAGCAATGAGTGTTCGTTTTCATTTTTTTTCCATCAATCCGGCGAGTTTAAGGGACATCTTTTTTTGCAAATATCTCCATCACGTGGACTCAACTTTTATCCCCAAAAGTAGTCACTATTAAAGCATGCATAACCTCGACTCTATGTGGGGGGAAAACACTGCAATTTCAGATAAACATCAGTTCAATAGGCTCTAAGGAAGCGCGATCAACTGATTGCACAGCGTTTCCATACATAACCTCTATTGCTTGCTTATCGGAATCCTATACAATGCTTTTCAAATCTGATGTGGACTTATTGACAGCTGTTTCCAAGTATCGATCACCCCCTCATTGGATGTATTAGCTGCCCGATGTAATTTGTATGCATTGATCGTCCACGGTAATTATAAACCTGCCCTGTATTGCTGCGCCCCCTGCTGGATGAAAACGGTGGCCGGCGTTTGGCGAGGGAAGTGCCACCGTGTCCAAAGTGAGCACACGGTTAACTTGAAGCCGTGATACACACCGTGTTGTTGACAGTGTTTGTGCCAGGCCTGTGGAGCTCCCTGTGGCCCAGCAACGTGATCGTGTTGTTTTATTGCCTCGCGTTTATTCTTTTCGTTTCAAGGGTCAGTGTATGAAACCTCCAATCTGGATCGAGGCGGTAACAACAGGAAGAAGAAGATAGAGGAATTCTCTAGGTCTTCTCGGGAGAAACTAGTCCAGTCGAAGAACAAAATGTTCTCCAAATTCACGTCCATTCTCCAGCACGCAGTGGAAGCGGTGAGTTTTATTTTTTGTGTGCGCCCAAAAGGCTTACATTTATCCACCGGCTTGCTTTTGTGTGTCGTCTGTTTTGGTTCAAAGCGGCCTTTTGGTCACGCATAACGTCAGCGTTGAGCTAAGCTAATGTTAGCGTTTTGTGTTTGTGCTGTGAATTTGTTTATTTATTTTTTAGCGATATTACGTTATAATTGCTGGTGTGCGTGCATGTGCTGTTCGTTTATGTCGCCGACTAACACATTTCTGTATTGTCATTCTCTTTATTGCAGCGAGTGAGTCTTTGTTAGAGGTAGTTTAAGCTGAGCTAGTTAGCTGATGGATGCTAACGCTACCTATCTCGTTTCAAGCAGCAAGTCTTATCGTGAGGAAGGGTGTCGAAAGGATTGGACAGCCTGGTTTCATGTTGTGCAAACGTTTGAGCGTTAGCATTTTAAAGGGATAGTCTGTGAGCAGCTTTTGTTTCACGTCAACCAGGTAGAAACCGGTAGCAACCTGCCTGAATCCCGTCTCAAGCTGCTTCATGTCAAACAAAAGACGTCTGGACGGATCCAAAGTGAACATTTCTGTCTGCAAGCGTACCGAGTTCTTGTTCTGTCACACAGCCTGTTGGTGTGTATGTGGTTAGGATTTAAAATAGATGTAAACCTTGATA